TGGCTCTATTTCTATGGAACTGAAAATGGACACTTTTTCTGCCGAACACCGCTGAAACAAGGGAACGCCTGGCTGCCTCCACGAAAGCATGCGAACACCGGCCGTTCGGGAGATTGAGAGCATACAAAAGACTTAACCCAGATAGCCCTCCCATGGAGTCATTCGTATACCGAAAGACTGTAAGAACTTTGACTCCATGGCTATTGAACTATGTGTGTGGGATCTGAGCGCTATTCGCCAATAATATGCACTCAGATCCAGGCTATCTGGGGACATGTAATACGAATGGGGAATGTTCAGTTTTCATGTAGTTATGCATTTTTATGTCTTTTATTATTTTATGTTTAAAATGGCGACTGTCCTTGTCCTGGAGTTAATTGAGTTACTTGGTAATTAACTCCAGGACAGAGGGGAGGGAATCAGACTGCACTGTGGGTAAGAGATGTGACTGTGTGTCAGAAATGTCCTTCTATCTGTCTGTAATTTAAGTCTTCCATTTGGTCCCCTAGGGGAGTGTCCACCAGGTGGGAGACCTGCATAAATACGGGCAGGTAGCCCACAGTAAAACCAGATTCTGTTTGACCCTCAATGCGGAGCTTCTGTCTCGTTATTGGGGGGATTTCTTCTTCACGTTTAGAGACTGCTGGATGGAACGAAAGCCGCTTGGGGAATATTACTGTTCGACGGTTACCAGCAGTTCGTGTATTGCCGTTCAGGAGTTTGGAGCCGTTCGTGGATTTCGATCGGGAGATTGCCGCTTCCCCTGCATTTGGTTCGTGTGTTACAGAGTAAGCGAACGGAGACTGTACTGCAGCCGGGGAAGGTTTACTAAACGGCGGTTTTACCTAAAGACACTGGAGGTGTCTTAACACCATCTATTGTCAGGCACGTTGAAAACATAAATACAGAAAGATAAGTCCTGCGCTCACTCCAATCATTCCTGGGCGGCAGCAATGACTACAATACACATCAGCCCCAATATATAGTAAAAACCAAAGAAAAACAAGTTACATGCGCTCTCTCCTTAATCCTCTGTCTCATTTGAGACATTTTTGCCAGAAGCTCAAGGAAGCAAGCTGAAGGGTCAGTGTAGGACCCGCTTAGGGGGGTCTGCCTTGACGTTGGCAGGCGGGCATTCCCTCCAATGGCCATTGGAGTAACTAAATGACCTCCATTTGTCTAAATATACATAGGGATTAAGGTGAGAGCGCAGGTAACTTGTTTTTCTTCTGATGTTGAAAACATAGAAGCCATTTATCAGTCTTGCTGGGATGGCTTACAGGCAAGGTAAACGGGGATTTGCTGGACCAGATCTGGGGCTTCGATCATTAAAGCTCCCATCCTGACCCCCTCCCCTTTCCCCCCCCACAATGCCCATGAACTGCAAGTTATATTATTGGTGGATAATTAGAAACTAGTTGGAGGTGAATCAGGAGAGAAAACCAGTTGACCGTGATGAACGTGTTCTCCAGGAGTTAATAATGATTCTTGTTTGCTGTTCAAAAGCTATTTGAAAAAGCATTCTATCTTACAAGTCTACAGTGTAACATGTTTCCCCCTGGTGTCCGTATGTAGGGAACAACTGCCTCTTCATTCCCTTAGTATCAGACTTTTTATAAATTAACAAGCAAGCAATTAATGACACTTTATAAATAATAATGATATATTAGATATTCCTGGACAATATACAATATTTACTATCATAATGTGTATATAGTATATATAGTACTATATATATTTTATTGTATACATTACATTTATTGTTACCTGAATATCGCCAATGCTATGATAGATAAATCACAAATTTTGCAAGGTGAGTACCTGTTACTTTGATGACCAAAATAAGACAGCTGTTCTCATTTCCAAAGTATTGCACGGTTTCTCCAGTGTTACAGTACAGGGAGTGCAGAATTATTAGGCAAGTTGTATTTTTGAGGATTAATTTTATTATTGAACAACAACCATGTTCTCAATGAACCCAAAAAACTCATTAATATCAAAGCTGAATATTTTTGGAAGTAGTTTTTAGTTTGTTTTTAGTTATAGCTATGTTAGGGGGATATCTGTGTGTGCAGGTGACTATTACTGTGCATAATTATTAGGCAACTTAACAAAAAACAAATATATACCCATTTCAATTATTTATTATTACCAGTGAAACCAATATAACATCTCAACATTCACAAATATACATTTCTGACATTCAAAACAAAACAAAAACAAATCAGTGACCAATATAGCCACCTTTCTTTGCAAGGACACTCAAAAGCCTGCCATCCATGGATTCTGTCAGTGTTTTGATCTGTTCACCATCAACATTGCGTGCAGCAGCAACCACAGCCTCCCAGACACTGTTCAGAGAGGTGTACTGTTTTCCCTCCTTGTAAATCTCACATTTGATGATGGACCACAGGTTCTCAATGGGGTTCAGATCAGGTGAACAAGGAGGCCATGTCATTAGATTTTCTTCTTTATACCCTTTCTTGCCAGCCACGCTGTGGAGTACTTGGACGCGTGTGATGGAGCATTGTCCTGCATGAAAATCATGTTTTTCTTGAAGGATGCAGACTTCTTCCTGTACCACTGCTTGAAGAAGGTGTCTTCCAGGAACTGGCAGTAGGACTGGGAGTTGAGCTTGACTCCATCCTCAACCCGAAAAGGCCCCACAAGCTCATCTTTGATGATACCAGCCCAAACCAGTACTCCACCTCCACCTTGCTGGCGTCTGAGTCGGACTGGAGCTCTCTGCCCTTTACCAATCCAGCCACGGGCCCATCCATCTGGCCCATCAAGACTCACTCTCATTTCATCAGTCCATAAAACCTTAGAAAAATCAGTCTTGAGATATTTCTTGGCCCAGTCTTGACGTTTCAGCTTGTGTGTCTTGTTCAGTGGTGGTCGTCTTTCAGCCTTTCTTACCTTGGCCATGTCTCTGAGTATTGCACACCTTGTGCTTTTGGGCACTCCAGTGATGTTGCAGCTCTGAAATATGGCCAAACTGGTGGCAAGTGGCATCGTGGCAGCTGCACGCTTGACTTTTCTCAGTTCATGGGCAGTTATTTTGCGCCTTGGTTTTTCCACACGCTTCTTGCGACCCTGTTGACTATTTTGAATGAAACGCTTGATTGTTCGATGATCACGCTTCAGAAGCTTTGCAATTTTAAGAGTGCTGCATCCCTCT